CTCTCTCTGTGTGTGTGTGTGTGTGTGTGTGTGTGTGTGTGTGTGTGTGTGTGTGTGTGTGTGTGTGTGTGAGAAATAATACATTAATAATTAATATAATTTATATAGTATGTGTATAGATACATACATATAATGAGTCTTAGATCATTGTTGTGCAAATGTTTTCAGTATTTTAATCAAATAAAATATATTAAGACCATAATAAAGAGAATATACTCCATATACACTATAATATAATATAATCATATTGTCAGATAAATGTATATAAAACGACAAAAACAAATAATTATAAATATTAAAATATATACTATATATACATATATAATATTAATTTTACACACACACACATTTAACGAGTCTCAGTTCATTAATGTAGTCAAGATAAGTCAAAACAATTACATAGCCTAGTTAAAAACAAACATGAGTTGTATTAATCAGATACATTTATATAAAAATGTTAATAAAAGAATAAAGTCTACACATACCAGAATTTTATATTTGGATATATTATATATTAATATAAAATACGTTGTGTAATATTATTGCCTGTATACACACAACTATACAATACTCAAATACACCAGAATATTATATTTATAATATTACTACGTGTACTGCGTTAAGCTAGCTGAGACTTGTTATAGCACTTGTGTATCATTGCTCTTGTGTTGATTTTGATTGCTTCCATTGTCCTCATTTGTAAGACGCTTTGGATAAAAACGTCTGTTAAATGACTAAATGTAAATGTAAAATTATATCATACAAATATAAAATATATTATATTATTGCCTGTATACACACAACTAACAACGCATCACTCCTAACATGAGCAAACTACACTTGTTGGTGCTCTTTGTTTTGTCTATAATTCATAGGCCCGTTTGTATTTACATCACGTATCTGCAGCAGAAAAGCAATGTGAGGTAACCGTACAGCTCTGACGTCATTTACAACTCTCTCTCCTCGCGCAGCATCCGCCACAGTGCGTGAATGTGATGATGCTCGAATGTTACATTTTAGCGCTCAGTTAGTTCATTGTCATTCGGTTCCCGCCACTGATGACTGACTGATGTAGACCAATAACAACCACATCTGTCACGTAGCGCTAATATCAGACGCTAAGAATATTGATTGTGTGGAGAGTCAGGTGAACAGTCGCTGCTCGACACGTATAGAGAAACAGCATGATGGGTTTACATGAATTCATATGGATGACAGGTATACTGATGGCGCAGGATCATCCTTAACCTGTTTGGGATCGTGGCAGTACGTGAAGATGGCGACGGGGACGGGCTGGCAGCCGCCGTACAGCGCTGCTCCGGGCATCAATCCTCCCGCCGCTGCTTCTGCTTCTGGATCAGGCACCAGTCCGTCCTCCACATCCAGCCATTTACTCTACGAATCTGCGCTGACCATGGAATACACTCAAGATCTGCACCTGAAGATGAGTAAAAAAATATCACAGCTCACCAAGGTAGGTAATAGCACATTGCTTATATTTTGATAACAGTATCTCAACTTTAATATGAATACACTGTAAGCAGGATTCTGCATGATGTTTAATCCTTATCCCCCATAGAGATGATGCCCTACATATTGCAATTTTTGCACCGCAGTGTTTTTTTTTCCCCTGCAAAAATCTGTTTATAAGGTTTGCAAGACGCATTTAATCTGTGATTAATTTCTGCAAAAATAATTCAGCAAGGCATCTTACATAACGAGACTCTAATGCAGAAATAATCAGTCTAGTTTATTAACATCCACATTTATCAAAAGTGCATATGCCTTATTAGTTTTTACCTCTGATTTCATTTAGTTGTGTAATTTATGCCCAACACGAGAGCAATCTTTGCTTTGGATTCAAGATTGCGTATTCACTGTTTTTATGTTTAGTGTCCCAGACCTAGATGTGTGAAAACAATAACAATATTTAACCTCTTAATTTCCCTTTCAGATGCTTTTAATATGTTCTTTCAATGTAAACAAAATCCAACAGACAGAATTATTTTAAGATTTTACCAAAAAGTAGGCATGCATTTCACAGAAATGTGACTGGTATTCATTCTAGTATTCTAGTAGTGTTTCTGCCTGGGGTCTGTTTAAACACAACAAAAACACATTGCAAAAAAAAAAAATATATATATTAAATGAAATAAACTATACTGTGTAAACCAGGGTTATTACAGATATTATACTACAGTATTGTAGTAAACCATAAAAAGGTCACAAATAAAATACATATTAACTGAAATAAATGTAAATATAAAAACTATATTGATATATTAAAAAAAGTCAAAAACACAACAAAATTACTAAAATTTAACTAAAATTAAAATGAGAACATATAAAAAAAATTTTTTTTCAAAATATTAATAAAATTACAATAGTATCTCAGTTGTACTAAACTAACACTGGTGTGCACTGTGCACTAATCAGAAGATATGAAATTTATGAGACCCCATATGAAGTAATGCAATGTATTTTGGAGCATGTTATGAAGTTGAAATTGTGTTTGTATGTTCTCATAAGATTATCTTAAGTCATTGAGTATAAACATGATAATTAAATGGTAGGTATGTTTTCAAGCTATTAAAGTACCCTTGAGGTTTCTCAGACTCTAGCCAAATAATTTATTTAAATTCACATCTAATCCATTTCTTCGATATGGTAAGAAAAGCTTTGTTCAGGAAAATCCAGTTTTATGGGTCTGAAACTGGCATGGACTGCATTAATACACTAATTAAACTAGGTAGAGCTAATTTGCATAATTACAGTTGTGCAGAATAGGGCGTCCTGACTCCTTACAGTATGTTAATAACATGGATGCGACAGAAATGAATCAATTAAAGATGAAAAGGAGAACAGCAGCGTGAGAACAGCAAGTGAAGGCTGTTACGGAGCTGACGAGACAAGAGGCGTGCGGATCCATGCAAAGCTTTTAATCTAGAACAAAGTCAAAACAAGCAAGGGTCAGATAATGGCAAATGCATATAGAGGGCAAGACACAAGAGTAGTCCAGTGAGCGGGCGTGGTCAATCTCCGGCAAACAATGTCCAAACAGGGTATTCCAAAGGGTTAATACGATACACAGGCTATGGTTCAGGCGAGGGGCAAACAGTATTCGAACAGGGCAAGACGAGAGGGATAAACCAGGACAAGCAAAAATCGGGAAACAGGCAAACAGGAAACTAGACGAGACTAGACTAGACTAGACAACTATAACAAACTAGGAACTGGCTCTGCAAAGTAGATATCGACTAGGGTAGCGATATACGCTTACAATACTCGGCAGTGAGAGAGAGGAAGTCCATGGCTTATGTAGCATGTCTGATTGGATTCAGCTGTGTGTGTGTAATCAGTGCATTCAGCTGTGTGTGTGTAATCATTGCAATGGATGATGGGAACTGTAGTCCGGGTGAAGTGCAACAGTAGTGTGGTGCAAGAGTCCATAGTAGTGAGCGGGTGATCTCAGGTAATGAGCGAACGGAAGTGCATGGACCGGATTCGTGACAAAGGCGGCTTGCTTTGATGTGCAACTCTTAAGTACAACGAAAGCGAGTCATGATTATGAAATGCTTGGCTGGAAAAACTCTTGGCTCCAAAAGGAAATTTTTAATATTGACTCTTGTTTATTAAATCAAGAGTTTGGTCCAGATCAGAAAGAGTTTTATAGAAATACAAGGAATTTGATTTGGTTTACAGGAGCTTTGAGCGCTCTAAATATATATTATGTATGCAAGAAGATGCATAAAGAAGAAGATGCATAACTTCTAGTCTAAAAATATGCATTTAAATATTTGTTCAAGGGTGTGCAAAGTGGATATAGTGTATTGAAACAGCATAAAAATGAATATATGCTTGCATAATGTACATCTTTATTGCCTAATAATGCTTAAGAGAATATTGCACTATATTGAAAGGGCCAGTGGAAAGAAACTGTTTTGGTTGCCAGTGCTCTGTGATGCCTGCCAGAGGTGAAAAGAGGTTGTGTCCTTGGTCTGATGGATCCATAATGATTTTTCCTCCCTTTTATGTTGCTTTTTTCCTTTCGTTGCAGTTTTCTTATATGTCTGATTTGGTGGCTGAACCAAACCAGACAGTTATAGACTGTCCCAGATGGACACATGTGGCTTGGAGGAGTATTTCTTGGCTTTAAGCAAGACACTATGGGCAAAACCATTGTTTTTGTCATGCATTGAGATTTTATGTTATTTTGCTTCCATAACTTGACTGCTTTCGGGCTAGTGGAAAGAAAACATCCAAAATAAACATTTAAGTGTTTATTTTATGATATTTGATCTGTTTGCATCAGTGGATTTCAAATACAATGGTTACACTTTAGAACGGAACACACATTCACTATTAACTAAGAGTTTTCCTTTGATAAACTGCTAATTTGCTGCTTATTAATAGTTAGTTAGGTTGCTGTTAGGTTTAGGTAGGATTAAGAGATCTAAAATATGGTCATGCAGAATAATGCATTAAAATGTGCTTTATAAGTACTAATAAACAGCCAATATGCTAGTAATATGCATGCTAATAAGCAACTAGTTAATAGTGAGAACTGGTCCTTAAAATAAAGTGTTACCAATAGAATACATATGCCATTTTCTCAAAATGATTTTTTTCTTGCACTTTTCATGCACTGAGCTATAAATCTCCACTTCAGCAGCTTTTACATACAACAAATTTTCCAATTTTATTCCTGTCTACATTCTGGAGGTGTTCAGAGGGGTTTGTTTATATATCATTCACCTAATAATTATGTATTTTTTTTACAGCTGTTGACAGCTTTTTCTGATTTACAGTTTTTACTGAGGGGTTTATTCATATATCAAATACCCCTGTGTATTTAACACTGTCTACAAAATAAAACAAGAATTTTGAACCTGGCTTTATCCAGTATTCACATTTCTGTTCTGGAAATATATGCAAATCAATGCATATTGAATTAGACAATGCCTTATTTGCATATTTAAACATTATATTTCCAACTACTTGTAATACAAAACAATTGTGTTAATTAATTGTGAGTAATCAACTGCGGAAAGTATCATTTACTCGCCCTCATGTACTTCCAAACCTGCATGTCCGCTCTGGAACACAATAGAAGATATTTTAATGATTGCTTCTACTGTTTTATATACAATGGACGTCAATGGGGTCAAATTTCATTGACAAATAAAACACTGAGAAATTTTTCAAAATATCTTTTTTGTGTGTGTGTGTGTGTGTGTGTGTGTGTGTTCCACAGAAGAAATTAAGGTCTGGTCTCCATACCATACCTTGCTGCCATGTGTTGCCTTGTGATTGGATCTGCCAATACTTAATATAATGAACTTTAAAGTTTTAAAATGACTCATAAGTGGATTATTCCATGTGAAAGAATCTCAGAAATCTTACTACAGCTGCTGTTTTCAGTAAACATGAAGACCGATCGCATAATCACAGATTTTAAGGGTGCTGACATCTGAGTTAATCACAGATATTTAGAGGGAATGAAATGAAAGACAGACAGGCTGTCTAGAAATGATGTGACGTTTCCAATTTTCTGCAGCTGTATAAAAACTGATTCTTCATCATCCATGTTTCTCACAGGTCATTTATGCCCTCAACACAAAAAACGACGAGCACGAAGATGCCATCCAATCTCTGAAGGAGGCCCACGATGAGGAGGTTCAGCACATCATGACAGAGGCTCGGGAGAAGATCCTTCACTACAAGAGCAAGATCAGGGACGAGGCTGACCTGAAACGGCGCCTGCAGTCCCTGGAGGAATCCGTGGAGCTGCACGAACACATGAAGTGCCAAGCGCTGGCCGAGTTCGAGATGTACCGGCAGCGCGTGGAGGACACACAGCTGTGCATGGAGGCCCAACACACACAACGCGTGGTCTCCATGTCACGTGAAGTGGAGGAGATGCGGCACGAGTTCGAAGAGAAGCTACACTCCTTCAGTAAGGTGCAAGCCCAGTTTGAACAGGAGAAACGGCAGGCATTGGAGGAGCTCAAGTCGGTCCACCGACAGGAAGTCCAGGAGCTACTGCAAAGCCAGCAGAACCAGAGTGCGTCCTCCAGCCTGGAACAGGAGAAACTGGCCGAGCTGCACAGTACGGAGCTGGAGTCGCTCATGGAGCGCGTGGAGGAGCTGATGCAGGACAAAGTCCGACTGGTGGAGGAATACGAGGCCAAGATGTCCAAGGCTCAAGGGTTCTATGAACGCGAGCTGGAGGCCATGAGGCGAACGCAGCAGCTCACCACAGAGAACTTGCTGGCCTGGAAGAGGACGGAGGTGGAACTGAGGAAGGAGTTTCAGGTGCAGGAGTCAGCTCTTCAGAGGACCCTTTGTAAACTCCGTGCTGAACTCCACAGAGCTCAGGACGAGGCGCGAGAAAGCAGGGACAAGACCAACAGACTGCAGGCATCTCTTAACAATGCAGAAGTCACAATTAAGGTAATGATTTGAACATTTTCAGTACATGGAGATTCATTGAAGGGTGTTGCTTCAACTTTAGACACTTTTATTAGGTTGATTATTAAAACTGTCAGAACTTTTTTATTTCTGTTATGTTACAGTCATATTGAAAATGTCTTGGAAATGTCTACATAATTTAATTTTATTACATTTAATATACCTTTTATTGTTTTACCCTTTTCCCAGACACAGAATTTCAATCTTACTATGGAAATCTGTCATAAGTATTACACATTCTTAATATCTATAATCTAAACAATAAGCAAAGTAAACCATTTCAGTGTACACTACCATTCAAAAGTTTGTGGTCGGTAAGATTCTTTTATGGTTTTGAAAGAAATCATTATACTCACCAAGGCTTCATTTATTTAATTAAAATAATAATATTGTGAAATAATAACATTTTTAAAAACTGTTTTCTATTTTAAACTGCAATTTATTCCTGTGATGGCAAAGCTGAAATTTCAGCAAATTATTAGTATTTTTTATCAAAAGTGCCCTTGTCTACAAGAAGAAGAAATGTCATGAGACAAAGTATGCACGAGTTCGAAGAGAAGCTACACTCCTTCAGTAAGGTGCAAGCCCAGTTTGAACAGGAGAAACGGCAGGCATTGGAGGAGCTCAAGTCGGTCCACCGACAGGAAGTCCAGGAGCTACTGCAAAGCCAGCAGAACCAGAGTGCGTCCTCCAGCCTGGAACAGGAGAAACTGGCCGAGCTGCACAGTACGGAGCTGGAGTCGCTCATGGAGCGCGTGGAGGAGCTGATGCAGGACAAAGTCCGACTGGTGGAGGAATACGAGGCCAAGATGTCCAAGGCTCAAGGGTTCTATGAACGCGAGCTGGAGGCCATGAGGCGAACGCAGCAGCTCACCACAGAGAACTTGCTGGCCTGGAAGAGGACGGAGGTGGAACTGAGGAAGGAGTTTCAGGTGCAGGAGTCAGCTCTTCAGAGGACCCTTTGTAAACTCCGTGCTGAACTCCACAGAGCTCAGGACGAGGCGCGAGAAAGCAGGGACAAGACCAACAGACTGCAGGCATCTCTTAACAATGCAGAAGTCACAATTAAGGTAATGATTTGAACATTTTCAGTACATGGAGATTCATTGAAGGGTGTTGCTTCAACTTTAGACACTTTTATTAGGTTGATTATTAAAACTGTCAGAACTTTTTTATTTCTGTTATGTTACAGTCATATTGAAAATGTCTTGGAAATGTCTACATAATTTAATTTTATTACATTTAATATACCTTTTATTGTTTTACCCTTTTCCCAGACACAGAATTTCAATCTTACTATGGAAATCTGTCATAAGTATTACACATTCTTAATATCTATAATCTAAACAATAAGCAAAGTAAACCATTTCAGTGTACACTACCATTCAAAAGTTTGTGGTCGGTAAGATTCTTTTATGGTTTTGAAAGAAATCATTATACTCACCAAGGCTTCATTTATTTAATTAAAATAATAATATTGTGAAATAATAACATTTTTAAAAACTGTTTTCTATTTTAAACTGCAATTTATTCCTGTGATGGCAAAGCTGAAATTTCAGCAAATTATTAGTATTTTTTATCAAAAGTGCCCTTGTCTACAAGAAGAAGAAATGTCATGAGACAAAGTATGAAAATGTGATGGATAAAAAAAAAAAAAAAAGATATTGTGCATTTCCAAACTGCAATTTCACAAAAAGTGTGAAATTAATATTTAACTGTGTTTATTTGGAATATATAGAATTCTAGCTATTAGCGTTAGTAAGACAAGAGAGGCAGTTTATGTATTTCGATATGTTTAAAATGTGATGTGATTTCCATTACAGAATGCTTTTGAACACACTACGTAGTCTGAGATGTGTTGGAAATTAGGCAGTTATGAAAATATTTGTGATGGTTCAGAATTCTGACAGAATTCTCCTGTGATGCATGTATGTACATTGTTCCTGGGCAAATTGCATCAGTGTATATGTGTAAAAAGTGTGTTTAGAGTACATAGTTCCAAAATAAGCCATAGCTGAAGAAACACAAAATGTCTTTGGTACTTACAATTTACAGTAAATAATGATATGAAGTAAAGATCATTGAGATGAGTTTGTAAGTTTTGATGCTCAACCCTCTACGGACACCTTGGCAATTGAATCGTTTCTAATCGTGAATTAGTTTTTTGGTCATTCAGTGTTTCTGTAAAACAAAATTGGGAAAAAAACTCAAAAATACCGATAAGATAATGATACGAATTCTACTAATAAGAACAATATAAAACGCACTAAGGATTAATGAGCTGCTGGATTCATGAATATTAATCAGGTTGTGTGCGTTCGCGCGAACTGATTTGCTGAAATCAAATCAAAAACAATGAGATTGCCGTTTGCGCATTAGTTCCGCCCACTACCGAAGAAAGCGGCAGTTCTAAAAAGCTGAAGAATTCCAAAGGAACGCTGTTATTTTGACAGGAAAATGCAACAAAGAATATCGTTTACATGTAGCGCGTCAATTCTCTCTCTCTCTCTCTCTGCGTGTGTGTGAGACAAAGCAACGGCGAGATGTGCGCTTTCACACTAGAGTTTACGGTACGTTAAATACAGGTGCGCTGCGCATCCATTCAGATGAACTGAAAAATATCACAGATCAGTTTACGGAGAGTGAAACTCTGAAGCGCTCAGTCAGAGAGTGTTCGGCGAGTGAAAATATTAAAAATTATACTTAGCTTCCAACTCACACACTGGCGAGTAAAATCTGAGAATTGATTAGCCATTGGCTAATATTAGACATCATTTAGTCGCCCAGAGTGAAGATTTATGCTTTCTAAAAATAATAGTGCATCTCAAAAAAGAAATTTTTTCCCATTTACAGGAGTTACACAAGCAGCTGGAAGAGGCCATACAGGATGGAGAGATTTGGGTGATGCAGCTGAAAGATACAGAATATGAGCTGGAGGGAAGCAGAGATCGAGTTCAGCAGCAGGCCAATGAAATCCTTCACAAAGCCAGTGAGAATAATGTCTTGACCAAATTACATTTTTTTCAGCATATGACACTGAATCACTCCAGCTGCAGTGTGAGAGTTTTTTTTAGAGAGGTTACAGTTATGTGATAGCTTGACAGAGATGGATTTAACTCTGAATTTACACTGAATTCTACATAGTTTTTGTGTTTGCGATTGACTCCTTCATGTTCACAAATAATATACCATATTTATTTTTTGAGGGAGCGTTAATCTAACAAAACACCCATGTATTTAATTAACAGGTCAGATAGGCTCTCTTCAAGCAACCCAAATGAGCCACGAGGCCACTATCAGGGATCTGGGCTCCGAGCAGAACCGCCTGAAGGAGAAGATCCTACAGCTGGAGGAGGAGAGAGAAAGACTTCAGAAACAGATTCAAACACTGGAAGAACAACAGCATCAGAAGATCCTCAACTTGGAGAAGGTCAATCATTTTTCACCTTTTCTTTTTTCTTAAAGGTCCCATGGCATGAAAATGTCACTTTATGAGGATTTTTAACATTAATATGAGTTCCCCTAGCCTGCCTATGGTCCCCCAGTGGCTAGAAATGGCGATAGGTGTAAACCGAGCCCTGGGTATCCTGCTTCTCCTTTGAGAAAATGAAAGCTCAGATGGCCCAATCCGGAATCTTCCCTTTATGTCGTCATACGGGGAAAGGTTACCTCCCCTTTCTCTGCTTTGCCCGCCCAGAGAATTTGGCCCGCCCAATAAAAGCATCTAAAAAGCAGCATGTCATGGGACCTTTAAAATAGGCAGACGGGAGGTAGGACTAAAAACCTGTTTGGAAGCAATTATTGATTTTGCAAGTGTTGCAATACTTTTATTACATAAATGCTGTTCTTCTGATTTTTCCTGAATCCTGAAAAAAATTATCACCATTTCCACAAAAATATAAAACAGCACAACTGTTTTGAACACTGATAATAATAAGAAATGTTTCTTAAGCAACAAATCAGCATATTAGAATGACTTCTGAAGGATCGTGTGAAACTGAAAACTGGAGTAATGGCTGCTGAAAATTCAGCTTTGCATCACAGGAATAAATGAGTTTTTAAAATATAATAACATTCCACATATACTTCTACTGTAAGTGCTTTACTGCAACAGAAGTTTTAGCTTGCTTTAAAAAAAAAACAAGGGGCATGTCAAACTAAGCTGTCGATTTAAAAAAACAAAACAAAAAAAAACATATTTACATTTAAATCTTAAATTGTATCAAACCCTGAACATTCCTTTAAGGTCCTTTTGCGAACACATATA